CGAAGTTTTTGAGGATGGATTTTGTAAGGGATTTAAAAAGTAAAAATTGTCGTATTTTATTTAAATACCTTAAAGTAATATATAAAATATGAGCGGGTTTATGGGMATTTAAAACTGCGAGCTGCAAGGGAGTAGTTTTATAGCCAATAAAGGTCGGACGCGAATATTTTATATTGCTTATCAAATTCCAGCTTAAGGTAAAGCATATTTCGAAAGAAACTTCAGGATAAAATATATACTGCAGATATATGGGAAAAGCAACATTTTGAAAGCAAGACCATGCCAGTCTGAATTGAGAGAGATTTAAAAAAAGAATCGGCAAAATTACAGTCTTAAATGACTTTAAAAATTGATGAAACTTGTGTTTAAAATAAGTTTATGGTGCTGTTGAACTGAGATGCTATTTTTGAACCGGATAATTAGAGCWAGTTTGTCATGCATTGGATGACTTACAGGGACAATAAAAACAAAACTGCTATCTACGGCTATAACATTTCTCCGAAGGTAAGATATTCTTGTACAGTTTGCTATGATGTGCAGTTCGAGTCGGCCCGGGTCACAATATCGAAACGATCTATTTGCATTAGAATCTCATATCTCAATTTTAAAGTRGTGCGTTGATTGGTCAACACGTCAACCGGATGGGAGGGTATTTCAAGTGGATTTCAAACCTCAGAAACCTGAATTCAACGTCCGATAAGCTTCCTGAGTCCTTCTTAAAACACTTGCGTTATTTCAACAATTTTCTCAGACAAAATATCCGTGTAAATCCCTGGGAAAATTTATCATCATTTATCATCATTTACCCAACGACTTGTCTATTCACTTTCTCTAGATCTCAAGAAGCAAAATATTTCCATTTTTTGCAAATTCAGTAGCAAAAGCAAAAACACAATGTAACTCGATAAAGGCCTGTGCAATAATTACAAACCAGAGGGGGCGGGGCATTACATAAAATTGATGCCAAGGCAGGGGGGGGCTCAAAGTAAAATTACCTAATTAACAGAGGATGGGCTTAAGTTTTATTCAAAATTTTCACAATATAATTTTCGATGTCTCTCAAAATGCTGGAAATCACATTTCCAAGAGTTATTTCCTTCAAATTTTGAATTTTTTTTCAACATTTTCTGCGGGAGGACCAGACTCCCTTAATACTCCCGCCTTTGACGTTCTTTAGACCCCCAGATCCAAAATATATGTCGCGGTCCCTGACATATGCATAAAAAGTCCACGCTACGCGCCTGACTAATGGAAATCTAAATTCAAAGACTCGTGAGGGGCTCGACGTTGGGGGCTCGACGTTATTTCTAATATAGCAGAGCTATAGGTTAGAGCTATTTTCTTGTGCTYCGTAGGTGGGGTTCTAACTAATTCTCTGCTTAAGAAATCTGGTTTTACGACACCCCCCCCMCCCCCCTCCTGGTAATTATTGCACAGTCCCTAAAAGAACCGCTTTCAAACGAAGAAATATCCCCAAAACTCATAACGTCACAATARTCMAAATGCTATTTATTAAATACCTGCATGGTAGAATAATACATTTAAACGTTTGTCAAGTTCAGTTCAGCTACGTAAAACAAGAATGAAGATAGCATGCCGGCTGCAGCGAGTTGAGCGACCTTCCCTAGGGTTAGAGCTGTTTCGCTTGTCATTTTTTCTTGAATATTCCATGCCAGAACAAATTATGCGATGAATTTATGAAATGTTTCTGTACTTGAAGTTTTTCAGCTACTTTTTGATTGAGAATGTCCACTAGTACTCTTTCTTTCACAAGTGAACATGAAGTATAGGTTTTAAAGTCGGCTTGGCAATTCAGTACTACGACTTCACGAGTTTCGTTCGTCCAAATATGACTCAAAATATGATTTTTGATTTGTTTTCAATTCTTCAGTAACAACACTTCGAAGTCTTTTCTTCATAGATGATATTTCTAATCGAGCTAAGAGTGGAAAACTGTAGAGCGATCCRCCATATCATGCGCCATTTCAATTTTGCAAGCTCACGTTCATTTCTTGCTTTTTTGCTTTAATTACGACGA